TAGCAATTAAAAAAAAAAAAAAAAAAAAAAAAAGGGCCACATAGAGCTGTCAGGACCATGCCGTCTGTTCAGGGGAGAATGGCATCTGGCTGAGCGGCAGCAGCTTCATTGTCAGCAACCACTTCTCTTTTTTTTTTTTCGAAAACAAAAAAAAAGGAACGCTCCCAACCCATTACTCTGCCAGATAAAACTGACGAGCGCGCTCATCAACAGCAGCAAGCAGATGCTGAAACACCCCCCTGCTTAGCATCCATGCTCTCCGATGGAAGGCTCCGCTCATCCTCCAGGTTTGACAAGTCATCTGTATTCGCACATTCAGAAGAGTGTACGGCCTGTTTCAGCCAGAGACCTGCGGTTGAAGTTGGTCATGGTTTCCCCCCCCCAAAAAAAAAAAAAAAAGTTGGCCATGGTGCTTCGGGACATCTGTTAAAATTGGAACGATACAGAGAAGGGTAAGGCCTGGACCCCACAGGAAAAAAATCGTTGAAAAACCCGTGTGGATTAAACTTTTCTCGGACTCCACTGGAAAAACGTGTGTGTGTGTGTGTGTGTGTGTGTGTGTGTGTGTGTGTGTGTGTGTGTGTGTGTGTGTGTTGTATGTGTGCTGTCTCATATACACATCTAGATGTGTATAAGAGACAGCCGCATGTTAGCGGCGGGGAGCACAAGGGCAGGCGCTGACCTCCCAAAAAACAAAAAAAAAGCAGTGTTCTATTGGAATACAAGGGTTTGTTCTTTTCGAAATTCGAATAGAAAGGGTACACGTTTTATTCAAATACAACGTGTACGAATCGTCGAGTTCTATTCGAAGTGCTCTTCTATTTGAGAAAAATGGACCCATGCGGTTTTGATTTCGAAATGTTCAAAACTCAAAATTGGAACGCGGACTCCAACTCAAGGACCGCTCGGCCTCCTACGGGCAGCTACCGGTCCTTCGCATGCCTCGCCCCATGCTAAGTCATCACCTCTAAATTGCCCACCCTCCAGAATGACCACCAATGTTGAAATTTCAATGACGTTCAAAGTCTCAGGGGTATAAAACACACCCCTGATTGGCTGCGAACATAAAAAAAAGTACGAATGTCAATATGACCTTGGCGTAAAAGTTGTTCAGTTTATGTTTTCATAAATTTTCCGCATATCATAGTTTGTTTTCTGGATTTTTTTTTTTTTTTTTTTTTTTTTTTTTCCTGGGACCAAAGTGGTTCAGTAACTTCAGTTTATTTTTCCGCATATCATAGTTTGTTTTCCGTTATTTTATTTATTTATGATTTTATTTTTTTTTCCGATGGGACCTTCCTTGGTCCTTGCACGACAAGGCAGCACAGGCAAACAAGGTGACCTTGGTAGCCCGGCTGGTAGCCCACGTTTTTTTTCAATTGAAAATTGAAATTTTCGAAATTTCATTTTTGCCGCAGCCGTAGTTACCTCAAATGAAAATGTTAATAACCCCAGTATATATATCCAGTAAGTTTATAATACTTTATATCTGCATCTGCAGTCAATATCGGCTCAGTTCATATCTGCATCTGCAGTCAATATCGGCTGGTAAGTTTATATCTGCATCTGCAGTAAATATCGGCTAAGTTCATATCTGCAGTGTATATTTCCTGCGTCGGGCCAGGTCCCACTTAGGGGTGCAGGCCCCACTGCTGCCCAGAAAGTTTTGGAAGAGTTTTTTTTCAGACTCCACTGCCGCGCAGAAATTTGGGCAAACTATTCCGTTGTCGTTTCTACTCTTCCCTTTTTTTTGTGGGGTAACTGCGGCGCAGTCACATTTTCAGTTCTCAATACACTTCCTGCATCCCTCGAATAGAATACATCCCCACCCAACCCTAAAGCTGGGATAGATACATTCACGATTTTCCTCGCTTCAGAGCAAACATCGCAAAACCGTGACTGAAACGCATTTAAAACTGAAAACCTTGACTGCGCCCTAATTTTCCCTTTTTTTTTTCGCCCTAGTTTTCCCTTTTTTTTTTCCCTTCTCTCTCTCTCTCTCTCTCTCTCTCTCTCTCTCTCTCTCTCTCT